TTTTTTTTACCTCTTTTATTTGCTGTTTTTTCCCTTTCATTTTCATATCAGCATATATTCCAAGGTGGCAGGAAGGAGAACTCCCATTATCCCTGCATGTAAGATGCAAAGCGGTAACATTTGTATTTATTTTTATTATTTATTAATTTTCTTTTACAAATAACATGTTTAGATTTTCTGTATGTTTTTTTTTCTACTTTGCAAACAGTTCATGTTAACTCCAATGACGCAATATGTGATTCTTCTTTTGCACTTTGACCTCTCCTCAGGACATGATTTGTTTTGTATTAAGATGCTACTTCAAGAAGGTATTGAAAATGTTATTTGAAATGTTATATTGAAATGCTTTTTAGGAAGGTTATGTGAAGCAACTTCAGCTCTTTTGTAAGATAGCATTATGGGAAAAATAAATCTTTTAAAAAAATTTCAAGTTTTTCAAAAAGGTTTAGCAAAATCTGCAATTTTAGGAAGCAACGATAAAAAAAACAAACAAACAAAAAAACAAAAAACAAAACCATAACAACATCCTGGAGGTGCTGGTTGGTAGACCAGTACCAGACCAGAGGACCTCAGGGTCTGCAATACATCAAAAAACCAAAGAGACATTTATAAACCACTGAAGTAATCTTAAAAACTATCCTGAGACTTCTGGTCTCTGCTAGCACACGAGCTGCAGAGTTTTGTAACAGCTGAATGATGGACAGATTTTTCTTATGAAAACCAGAAAGCAGGACAGTAGAAATAAAATCCTGCACCTAAGTCTCAGCATCAGCCAGACGGAAAACAGAGAGAGCTCTGAATAGATGATAAAATCCTGTTTTGACTTCATGTTTGATGTGTAGAATAAACGTTTAAAAAACGGCAACATGTATTTCTGCTAAATGTGGTCTCTCATATACATCCATAAAAATAAAAAAAAACAACTAAAAAAAACAAGATATACAAGATGAATAGTTTCAACATTTTCTTTTATTCTCATACAAAATTCTTAACATTAGTTATAGAAATATAAATACATTTCTCAATAAGTTAGGCAATAAATACATTCTTCTATTTACAATTACTGTGTTCGTATTAAAAAAGCTTGTAAACTGAACTTGACATTCAGTGCTGAGATGTTTTCTGCTTTGCAGTGATTGAAACGGAGCGAATCCACATTCAGTCACAGATTCAGTCAGCCTGCAGCGCCAACTACTGTTCCTCTGACCAATTACAGAGGAATAAATGGATACTTATTGGGACTGATGTGTTCTTTTGTTTGCTTGTTTGTTTGTTTTTTCAGACAAGCTAAACATCATAGAAACCTTCTGGCTTATCCTCTAATAAAAACAAACACTTGAGTCATCACAATAGACCTACAGCGTCACTGCTGTTCAGCAAACAGGAAGGAGCTGGCAAACCTTGAAAGAACTAATTGTTATTACGTAAAACCCAGAGAGATGACATTCGCTTCACCATGGCCGTGTGGGCCAGGCCTGAGCTAGCTGCCGGTTTCAAGATTTCATTATTTCAAAAGCCATTTGCAGGTTTGTCCTAAAGATCAAGCAGGACAGCAGATTCCAGCTCTGATACAGAGGAGTTTGGAAATAAGGGTCTGCAGGGACGTTTGAAATAATGCAGATGAAATATATATATATATATATATATATATATATATATATATATATATATATATATATATATATATATATATATATATATATATAATATATGTGTCTCTATGATATATATGACACAGATCTCTCTTTCTAGGTCTT